TATACATAAAACTAAGATAAATTGGTTTTACTGTTTTTGAGGAAAACACTATTCTGTTTATTTGCAAAAATCTGTATTATTGCAAAGAAAAAAAACTACTTTATAACTGCTTCTTGCTTTATTTAAATGTAGAGTTTTTTGTTTCTAGCATCTTACTTAAAGCAGCTGTCTGTCATGTACATTTTTAAACAAATTTTATGTCAGACAAGTACAAATTATATTTTCATATTTCATTTATTCTGATAGTTCTCTAACACTTTTTAAACAGTAATTGGTTAAATATGATCAGCATATCATTCAGATATTTACTAAATCATGCTGAAGTCTACTAGAATTATTAATCCTATCCAGGATAGTCTCATCACAAGACATTTCAGCATTTTAGTGTGACTCATTGAAGATTTGGATACTATAAACCTTTAACATAATATTCAGTATCCCTTTAAAGTTTAACATGTATGAAAACTATTATAATTAAATTTATCAGATTAAAACGATAATTTCTAAGTGTAAAGTACACAATTTAAAGCCGCTTTTAAAAACTTCTAAGTGTAAAACAAATTTACATAAATGACTGAGATAATGCATTAAACTGAGCAACTTAAATCTCTAAAATCAAAAGAATAGTGGAAAGAAACTATTTTGATAAAATATTATTAAGAGGTTGAATTTCATAATTGAATTATTCATGCACCAAGTGTGAAAACCTAATTAAAATTTAAAAGATTTTGTGGAACAAGGTTGTATTAAAAAGTAACATGAAGAATAAAATTCACTGAAGAACTATTACATTTATAACATTATAGCATAATAGAAGGTGGGATTTTATATTAATTCAACAGTGTTACAATCAAGATAACTTCTTAAAAGATAGTTTTAACCTTAATGCTGAATTTTGGCATGAATCTTGATCTATCTAAAATAGATCTACAAAATTTGTATTGGTGTATAGTTTTATGTGGTATACTGATACCATGATAAATTCATTGTTAAATGAATTATTCTGAAAAATACAATCTGAGTTTTATTTTTTTTGCTATTTTATAAATGTTCTCCATTTATGGAAAAGTTTAATGAAATTAAATTAGAGTGTTTGTTATTTAGCTCTAAATATATTTAAAGCCAAAAGATTGAGAAAGGTATTTGTTTCTAGAATATATTTTATTTCCTGAACTTTTTTTTACAACAGGTGAATTTCTAGATCTTTTTAAAAATTGAATGGACCTCCAAGAATATAGATATTTTATTACTGAGAACCTACAGATTCATGCCAAAATTCAGCATTAAGGTTAATGCCAATGTTGAATATTTCTATTTGTGCTTCACAAATGCCATAGTGTATCATGTGTTTAAGGTAACAATGGAAGACTACATGTCTGTTTCCTATTTATTCCCCTATATATACACCTACTTATGAATGTAGTGACTTTAATTGGTAATTCAAAATTACTTATGTTCTACAAACACCAGTTACTCAAGTGTCATTCTTAAAACATGTGGTGTGCTCAGTTATTTGAAAGTTTGTTTTTCTTAAAGTTCTTTTTATTATATTTGAACTATTAGATCATATAGCAAAAATAGGTAAATCTTCAAGCAAGAGTTTATATAGCATCTTCATAAAGATAAATTAATCCCTTCCCAAATGAACTAATATCTTTTTAAAAAATAATTGCAATGGTGACATTTTTAAAAGAGAGATAAACTGGAAAATTTGGTGTTTTGTGCAAAGGGTAATAAGCTACAGGATTATTCAGTCAATATATTTACCCAAGGAAGTGACAAGACATGTATGATCGCAAGGCTATAATCCTTGAGTTCAGTTGCTCACATAAAAAACACACTAAAACAGATGTTCAAATGCACAAAATAAACACCAATGATTTTAATCTCAACATTCAGTTCATCCTTTTGGGTAGAATACTTATTTGAACTCACTTTATAATCTATACTGTGTAAAAGCAAGTATGTTAGATATGTGTGCATGAGGAAAGTGAGGGCTATGTTTTTCAGGCATATTGCTAGAAGCTTTGTTTTTCAGGCATATTGCTGGAAGCTTTGAAACATGTATGGTTTTTATATCACAAAGACTAACATTATTCACTTAAAAAACAGGCACTGGTACTTCAAATTATTAGGTGACTATCAACAACAAATTCTAATTTCACTTTATATTGTATTTCAATGAAAACAACAGAGATATCTTAAGCATATGTAAAAATTCATACAGATTAGGTCTCCTATGTGCTCTAGCCATATATTTTGATCAGGTTTGAATATCTTAAAAAGACATACGTTTACTTCATTTCAACTGACACACCCCCATAGTACCTGTCTAATTATCAGCTCCCTAGTGCCTTCAATTGAATTTATTTTAATACAAAGAAAACTTTAGGTTATTCTAGGAAATTATAATGCTATAACTTGCAGAAACTATTTCAGTTTCTACACATAACACTGCAAAATCAATTTCCAAAACACAATTTAATTTACATTCAACCACTGCACTATACAGCCTTATGGCATCACAGCAAGTAAATACTTAGATCCAATCAACATCCATAGAAATCACAATGGAACTAGTGTAACTCTGTCAGCTTAAGTAGTCATAGTCTCCCTTCTGAGTTTGATTTATGACTTTACATTTTAGCAAATACAGGACAACTGCTTTGCCTTAGCTAGAGCTCTGACATAGGTGAGGATAGCTAAAAGAGGAGCTGTCTCTTTAAGATACCCTGCTCTGTCTCTGATCCCACGTGGAAACCAACATCAGCAGCACTTTCACATTAACTTTAATATGATGCAAAGAATACATTGTTTTTATCTGGAGAAAACTATAGATTGCATTCTTTGTAAAATACAAACCAAGTGAAGTAAGTATACTAGACCAAGTCAACGGTTCTCTCCCAGAAGAGAAAACCTCATTACATGGATTTTCTGCCAATTCACTCTAAGGCACGCTGCTTTAACTCCGTATTGTACTAACAGAATGCACTTTACAGAGAGGAACCCAAACACTGAGATCCATAATCAACCTAAAGACATTCCATAACCAGTTAAGATTTACTTTTTTATACTGCATTACATTTTGACTGGGAAAGGGACAGACAGGCAATCTCGAGGTAATTCATTTCGCGCCACCTCCCCCTTCTTCCAACTGTGTTTCTACCAAATCCCCCCCTCCCCAGACAAAGAACAAGAAAAGGAAGGTACAAAGTTTGGCAAACGTAGCAGTTACCTCCTTTACAATCAGCTCCACATTGCCCCAAAGCCGTGCAGCTCGTGCATTCCCACCTCCCGCCACCATTCAAGGAAGAAAGGGGTTTTTCACGTTCTCGCAGTGTCGGGAATGAGCTGTAAAAGGGCTTTTGCCTTTCTAAAGCGATCATCAACAAAAATAGGCATCAATTTTAACTCCTTGCTCTCCGAGAGTATTAAAAACTCACACGAGGGTATGCGGGTTCAGTGTGATCTTTTAGGGGGCAATTCGGAAGCTCGGGCGACTTGGGGATTTTTTTTAGGAATTTTCGAGCTATTTTTAATTTTGTTATATGCCTCAGTTCTCCCTCCATTTTGGTTGTTTATGATACTGACAACAAGCTGTCCCTGCTCTCTCCGGATCTCTCCTGCTTTCAGTTAGCGAACCCCGCTCCCCAATACTACCCACCCTCAACCTTGCTCGCCTTCCTAAGCTTCTCTTCCAAACCCACACAAGAAAGGAAAAGAAAGCCTCTCGCATCCGCCGAAGTAAAAAAAAAGGAGGCAAATTCGTTTCTTTATGCTGCTGGGGGGAGGGGGGGAGAAAAAAAAAACTTTTGTCCAATGAAAAGAGGGAGAAGGGCGCTGGATGTCCCAAAGTGACTCCAGATCCCCCTAAAGCTTCGGCTGAGGGCACCCCGGTACTCCGTCCGGCAAGAGCAATGCCCTTGCAACGTTTCTGCGCAAAATGTGTCCGATTCGGCGACACCGCTGAATTTTCATTAATTTTCTCTCATTTTGGGGCACCGCGGACTCTAATGTCTTCCGCTCCTTCCTTGCTGTTGCTGCTGCTGCTGCTGCTACCGCTGCTGTCACTATATTCACAGCACAGACGCTGGAGCTCAGGGAAGGGAGGGGGTGGAGAAGACACACATACAGAGAGGCGAAGTGGGGGGGGGGAACTTTTCTCCAAGTTTCTGCAAAACTCCCCACTTACTAAAGCAACCGCGCGCGGGGGGGGGGGCACTTCTTCACCGTTCCAAGAAACCCGGACCGAGGCAAAGGGGAGGGAGGGAGGGAGAGAGCGGGGAAAAACTCCCAGCCAAGTCTGGAGAAAGCGAGGCTTACTTTTAGGGTGCCTTCCCGTGCTGGACGCAGGGACCCCCCAAGAAGCCCAGAAGGGCTAAAAAGAGATGGAGCCGCGCAAACCTTTTCCCATCCCTGCTTCGGCTGCTGTTGCTTCGCTCTTCGCGTCCCTCCTCCTCCTCCTCCTCCCCCTTCAGAATTTAAATAACCCTAATATTTCCCTGCTGAACCCCGGCTGCAGAACCCCTAACCCACAGCAGACTTACCCCGGGAGCCTCAGCATCCCTTCAGCGCCCGCTTCCCGCCTTTTACAGGGTTCTCCGATTTTTCTGTAATTTTTTCCCCATATTTCGTGCTGGACGCGGCGGGCCTGGAAATTGTTTGCTTTCCCCTCTTTCCAGCAGCCATTGTAGTGTATGCGCTGCGGTGCAGCTCAGCCTGCCGCACACGCCGCGCCCACACCGCCAGCCGCCCACACGCGCCGCGGGTTGGACACCTCCCCCTGTCACTCAGCCTTCTAGCCGCGCCCAGTCGGTGGAGCCTTTCGCGTTCACAGCTTGTCCCGTTGGTGGGTGGAAACGCCGCTCGGGATAGGCCGGGGCGGAACCGAGCAAAGATTGGCCAGTCTGAGGCGGCTTGGGGCTGTCTTTCAAAGAGCTCCGGTCGCCTGCATTGGGTCAAGGAGCTGTCATTTTTCACCGGGCTGCGGGGCCAGAAACGGGGTAGGCTGCGCCAGTTATAAGGTCGTTGCCCAAGCCGCTGACGTCTTTCGAATTCGAGACGAGCCCTCAGGCCGTGAGCTGTGTTCCTCGTGGTGGCGGAGGTGAGTATTCGCTCCGGAGTGGCGTCGTGAGAGCGCGGTATCGCCTGTGGTGCGTGGGGCGCCTTCGCCCGCTTAGAAAATCCTCGCTAGGGCTGCTGCCTTCTGGGGGCGTCGCAGCGCCCAAGGCAAACGCTGCCCCCGGCTGTTCTCTGAAGACACTGAAGAATGAGGAGAAAGGAGCTTTGCGGTAAAGGTGGCCGAAACCGGGCCTCGTCCTGCTTCCCCCCGGTCCGTTTCAGGTGCTGAACGCTTCTTTCAGACCTCTCCCTCTTGTCGCGTTGATCCCGGCTTTCTTAGATTCGCTTTTCTTTCGTGGCTCCTCCACAAACGGGCCGGAGTGACTTTAAGGGGTCATTCTCGCCACTCACCAAGATGCTCCAGGTTCCCGTCGGCTAAATTGCATTGGAAGGTCCCGGGAGCAGTTCAGTCGACGGGAGGCTCAATCCTCAATCCTCAATTTTTCCCCGGTTCGGGGTTCGGATTTAGGAAAAAGAGTGGGTGCAGAAAGGCTTTCTCAGTTTCTTTTGCGAATGGCGGTGTGCTCCATTGTAGGGAAAGTTGGATTCGAAGCTCAGAGACAGCTGTTTCCTTTCCTTTCCTTCCCGCAAGCTTTTCATTGGAAAGAAAGCTACGGAAGCAACGTATTTATTAAATTTATTTTCCGCCCGTTTCACTATACCAGCAACTCTGGGAGGCTTACAATATAATAAAAGCAAAGATGTAAAAATATTAGAAACTATTCATAATTAACAGGGGTCATAAAACTAGGAACTAGTTTCTTCCATAAATTGCTAGCATAGAAGGCTACATAGGAATGTACACAACGATGGGAAACGGTTATACATCTTTGCTAGATAGTTGGACCTTGTCAGTTAGTACCGGTCCGCACAAACAAGCAAAGCCCCATCCGCGAGAGGCAGGCACCATATAAAACCATGCACTCTTGGTCCATGGAAAAACCTCTCTCCGTGGAACCGGTCCCTGGTGCCCAAAAGGTTGGGAACCTCTGTATTAGTATATAGATGGACTAATAGAAAATTCCCAGGACTGTAAATCCCAGAACGAGACCACTTCCATATACTGTCATCTAGAAAATAACAAGAAAGTGTTATTAACTCATTAGGATTAAAGTAGACTCAAGGAATTTTTATTGTATTTTTAAGAGTATTTGTCAAGTCTAACCAGAAAGGACATAATGCAGGACATATGTAGACCTGAAAAAAGGTGTGTTTGGGAATTTATTTTCAGTGTTAGGGCTACTTTGCTGGTTTCCCAACTCTTCACTTCTGCAACTGTTTTTGGGAGGAATATGTTGATATTTGCTATTACCATTTTTAAATCAATGGGAATATAGGCATTTTGCCTATCTGCTGCAAGTTGCACAGAGATCTAATAGACTGGCCCTCAATTTCACAGAGCTCAGCCTGCATATATTTGTGTGTTTTCCACCAAGGAGTGAAATAAAGGATTGCTTTCCTAGTATAAGATATAGATAAGATAAGATAACCTTTATTGTCATTTTTTACTATGGGCATGACACACATCAAAAATGAAATTTAGTTGCCCACTCTCAAAGTGAACATATACATGACAAACACCTAAACATACTATATACAATATATACATACTTTACACAACATATGTATAGACTTACACCCCTACATATATATAACATATGAATATTAAACACTGCCCATCTTGAATATATAACGGAAGGACGAAGCTTGAGAGTTCACAAGGTTTAGACTGTTTAGGAATAGGCTGTTAGAGTATAAATGCTTCAGCCTGAATCTGACACAAAAACAAAAACTATTTTGTGGTGGTAGCAAGTCTGTAAACTTAATGTATCTTGTTTTTCAGAAAATGAAGTTACAGTGTTTTAGAGTTCACATACACTATAGTTTAGTTTTTGGTATATTTAATAGTTATTGTAACATTTTAAGAAAATACAGAGCTTTAAATATAAGTTGTAACTTTCAGCAATCTGATAGTAAGCCATGTTGAATTTAGTGTAACCTACGGTACATAGGATTAGATTGCAAATTTCACACGAATTGTTTACTGCGTAGATACAAATCTATTCTGTACAGCTATGCTGTATACTGCTTTAACATATAAAATCTCTTTAAAAGCACAATTTGCCCTTTTTTTGTCAGAACCAGTGTCCAAAATACATGAATGTCTTTCCTTATTTTGAAATGAAGAAATGAATGACCAATATCAGCAGGTAAATGTAAGAATATTAAGAATTGAGGTAGTATCAATCACACAAATATTAGGCTGTAAATCACATCTAGAAGCTTGTTTTCAAATCAGTGTATGTATATGTCATGATCCCTAAAGTCAACCTTGACTTATGATGACTACATAGACAGATCCAGCTGGGGGTTTTTTTGGGGTGTGTGTCAATATTTCTTAAGTGGTTGCCTGTTATTTGATTTGCCGTTATGTTGACTTATATCCAAGTTAAGTGATATCTGTTGTCCCATTTCAAGAGAGTGCTATACTGTCAGGCTCAAATAAGCAGGTCCACATGTGAAGGTTCAAAACTACTGATTTATTTCTCAAGCCTATGCACAGGAATCTTCTCAGACAAAGGGTTTGCACCTGGATAAAATTAGATAAGAGTCAACTGCATTCAAAGGAGTTGGACTTCGTCCTCTTGTGACTATGTAGACCAGGGGTGTCAAACTGCCAGCCCCTGGGCCGGATGCGTCACGCACCTACCCCATTGCCAGCAATGTCAAAACAGTTTGACATGTCTGATGTAGACACTCTATAAACTGATGTCCTGCCTGACTCCTCCCTTGATTCTGCTCATCTACATATATACCATGTATCAGGAATCTGGTAGCAGTTTTTCAGATTAACTAATTTTATTGAAAGGTATAATCTTTTGTGTATTTTTGATAAGTTTGGTTTTGATCTGATGAAAGCAGCTATAGTTCATGAAAACTTGTGCCTTGAAGCTTGAAAAGATGTAAAGACTGCTAACGGACTTCTGAATTTTGACTATGCTAACATAGCTCTCCTGCAACATGAATGTAAAAAAAGGTATTAATTTAATTCTTAATTTAGATACTAAAACTTGGAAAATTTCTTACTGCTTTGTATTTCAAAGCTCAAATTGTAACTTGCTGCATTTTAGTTAAGCCAGTAATTATATACAACAGAAGGAAAACCAGCCACAATTGATTTGGTCTGGAAATCATCCTCATGCTTTGTCTTTTCCTTAATTGTCGTTGAAAAGTCATTCTGTAGGTAGGAGATAGTAGATAGAGTGACAGGAAACATCAGCTAAGAAATTTTGCTCTTTTTAAAATTATAATAAGAAAGCCAGATTTTTTTCTGTAATATCTATTGCAATTGCTCTTTTTATTTCATAGCTTTCAGGAATGTTAGCTCAAGACCCCAATTAATGCTGTGTAGAAAAATAGATCTTATATTGCCCCTCCAATAAATTCAAATGACTTATCTGAACCCCCTATAGATTTGTCTGACCTAACTGCCCACCTCTTACCTCTAAATTCATGTGATAGCCATACCATATGAAAAATTGTATATTTATAATTTTGGAATGAGCAAAATATATTTCTGCTTTATATTTCTTTCAAAAATATGCCAATGTATATTTTCTGGAATCAGAATTTTATGTGAAATATGCTTTACTTCAGCCAACTTTGGTAGTTTCAAAGTTATATTTGCTTTGCAGAATATTTTTTAAAAAATTGTCACCTATTGCCATATTTTTTTCTAATTTTTAAATAATTATTTTTCAGAACTTTGTACTTCTTTCAAGGTAATGTTAAACCTCATAAAAGAAGCTGCAATTTTTTAAAAATAGTACTGGACATACTAATGCATAATATGCTGATTTTAATTATACTTATTTGCAAACAACCTTTTTTTCTTATTCAAAATTTCCTACAAAACATGCATTTTCTTTTCTTAAAATATTATTTACAAGTCCCTAAAAAAAATATTAATTTTTTGTTAAGACAAAAGCTGTTCTGATATGTTGAAATTATCTTTTTTAGCTGCTGTCCTTAAAAGAAAAACCATACACAGAAAAAAAACAATACAATACTGACTTTATGTCCCCAAAACACCGATTGCAGGATCATGACATTAATCCATGTTTAATGGTAAGTTTTCTTCTAAATGGATGCTATGAGGTTTTAATTTATTTTTCTGAAATGTAGCTTTACATAATAATGTACAAAATACTGCATATAGCAGTTGATTGTGGGTAGTCTGTGTCCAAACGGAGACATGTATTCTAGGCATCTTAGTTTATATGTAGAATGAAATGGGGCTATGTTCTTTTAGATACATTTATCCAAGCAAGTATGAGTCAGAGAAGGGCTGAGAGTTTGTTTTTTTAAAAAAACAAGTCTGAAGGGATTTTCTTGGCAACAGTTTGTGAAGACCTAACTAGTGGCAGTTGAGGAGATGCTGGGAATGAAAAGGATATGCTGTGCTGGGACATCAAGGGTGGCAGGAGAAGGAAGGTAAAAAGTTGGGAAGATTGGGATGGTAGGCGGTGGGATATATTGCATACATTGGGATAGCAGATAGACCAGAACATTGATGATGGATATTGACAGGATCCTGTAACTACAAATATATTCTAAATTTGTTTCTGTTGCAAAATCATAAAGGTTTGGAAAAACTTCTGAACTTCAGTAGTTTGAAACAAAACATTTCCTGTTGTTGACCTTGCCCTCTGAAACAGTATTTTACCAGAGATACTTACAATGCCCACACTCTTTGTGTTCCAGATCTGGCTCTCTTCTTCTTCTTCTTTTTATAAATATTTTATTAAATTTTATAAGGGTAAAGGGGAAGTGGGGTCAATAAGGGTATGACAAGGGGTAACAAACAAAAAAGATTAGACCAGGGGAAGGGATAGGTACAATAGTGGAGTTGTCCCCCAGAATAAGTCAACGCTTTAGCAAGTAAACCCGTCCGGGTATACATATTCAATCATAGTAATTAATATAAAATAGCAATACTTAATATAATATTCAGATCTGGCTCTCTTCTGATGCCTACAGTTAAAGTGCAAATACCTTTGTACCTAGCTAATATATGAATTCTATAATGTATTTGCATCTTGAAATACAACAAAACCACTATAAAAGGAGTGGATAGCAATAATAAATGTAATTAAATTAAAATTTAATCATGATTTCTTTTTAAAAAATATGTACTAATGTAAGGCTTCTTTGAATGTAGGTATAATTCAAAATCTAAGTTTGAATGCTTTTTTGTTCACTTGTAATAATTTATTAAAGATATTCTTTGGTTTAAGTCTTATATTCATTGTTTTTTTGTGTCACATAGATGTATAATTCTGTTCGATATTTTACCTGAATTTATCACTGTAATAAACTGATTTGATATAATATAATTCAAGATCTATTATATTCCTTAGTTTTTTCAAATATGTTAGCACAAAGATTAACCCCTTACAGAACAAGTAAAATATAAATAATTATTCATATATACCTATAAACAATGTATTTCTTGATAATAGAATATTGATTGCATCTAACAACCTTAAATACTAATAATCACACTAATTATTCTAATATTTTAAGCACTTTTATTAAAAATCTTGACGGTATCATAAACCAAATGTTTTTATTGGCTAATGTAATTTATATTTTAACCTAAAATCTTTTAAAAACATTTATACAAAACTTGGCCTAAGTCTGGTGTATACAACAAATAACATGAGCTCTTCAGTGCTATTATGGTACTGTTTTTCAACAATAAGAATTCCATGTTTCTTTCCTTGCTTTCCTATAAGCTCTGTGAAGGAAGTTCCGCTGATGCCTTTGCTTTGGTTCTGCAAAGAAGTACCACTAGATTTATTTTTTCATCTCCCAACTCCTTTCTACGAATTGATAAGTAATTCAGTTGAAGATGTAGCTTTTTTTAAATTTTAATTGTGATTTGTTACAGGTGATATTGTATGATGTTACAAAAGCTTTAAACAAACTGTTACTATCTAGTCAGATGAGGAAATTATCTTATTTCTTGCGTATTTCTTGCGGTTCTAGAATCTTTTAGATTATCAGTTCTATTTTAATTTAAAACAAGCCAAAAAGTTTGCATCCTTATCAAATTTGGTTACATTTCTTGGTAACAATATTTGTTGTTGGGAGAATTTTAAGATACCTATTATCTTAATATTTACAAAACTATAGATTTAACTTTTAGCCTAATCTTAGTTTTGATGTCTTAATACTTCGAAGAAACATATAGTTACACTACTGTTAAGTAGGATTTTATTCCAACATAATTATAAGTTTGCACTCTTATTGTTTAGTTGCATTTCAACAAATGAATATGGTACTCTTCTAAATTGTGGAACCCAACTATTAGGTTTTTATATTTTATTTCCTTTCATATTCAAGGAAAGCGATGCTTCTAGAAAGTGTTTGGAAGCGAATCAATCCAATAAGGATATGTGTGCAATCTATTTTTTAAAGTACAAAAGTTGCCGAAAATTTTGGGTAAGTAGATTTGAAAGGCTTATAAATAAACTTGTTCAGGAAGGGAAACAGAAATAAGGCTCTAAACCTGTCTCTAATCTATTTCTGTCTCTATCAATATTATTGTCAGATTATTTATTGCATCATTTATATGAATTTACATTACAATGTCTCTGCGCTACAGAATCCAACAAAATGTCACAGTTTAAATGGTTAAAATTAAGATAAATTAAAATAATATTCTTTACACACAACGAATTAAAATAACCAAGTATACAATTTCCAAGGAAATTCATTTTCCAGAAAAAAATGAATAGTTTTCACTCATACTACATGCTAACATTGTTTGGTTCTTTGAACTCCAGGGGCAGACTAATCTATAGAGATAGTGTACTTTCAATAAGACTTATCTTCACACTCACTTCTCACAATCTCATTGGCACTGGGATCCGAAGTATCTTATTCTGGATTGAATGCATCAGAATGGGCATATTCTGTTTGGAGAAGGTAGTCTGGAAGATAAAGAACTATAGAACTTTATAATAAAAACTACTTGCAATCAACTACTTGCAATATATCTGAGATGCTGTTGACCTGGCTTTCAAACATGAGTAAGTGGATGGCTACATGCTGTACCAATGGATGTTTCCAGGAAGCTTTTAAAAGAAACCTTATAGAATGTGCTGCAACAGATCAATCTTAAGTTGGTAAGAGTGAGCGTAACCGTTGCTAGTGCTGGCTGCTCCAAAAAGGGCTGCAGTTGCCCCATTAGTTGAAACTAGGCTCTCCTAACCTCAGCCAGATTCTGTAAACGCAAGAGAATCTGGAAGTTGCAGCTGCTTTATCCTGTAAAAGAAGAATAGCTGACAGTATTCAAACAGTATTTAATATTTTACTTTAGATTGTTTTATCCATCCATCCTCAAGACACAGTTAATGATACCTACCACTTATCAGCTTTGCCAATGGTGGAAATATGTAATTGGATGTTTATCTTAATACCTCAACCTAATTAATGAATCACCTGCCCCAGTGATTTCCTAAAAAACTTAAATGCAGAGCCTATTGTATCTTATAACTACTTATCACTATCAGCTGGTACACTGAGACTGTCTCTACCCATTCGTCATAGGGGGTCTAGATAACTACTTTGGTTGATAGTATGAAACACCTTTTAGAGGATGGCCCAGAACAAGCACTCTTTATATACAGGTCCTAATGAATTTTGACATTCATGATGGGACACCGGTACACAGATTGAATCCTATGGATATTACTACAATTGTGATAGGATACCTCTATCCTTTATGTACCTGTAAGGATATATCTACCTGTATTTAAAACTTTATGGTAATCGTTTATTTATTCAGGAATTTAGACACCAAATCAGAATTTGTTTACTGTTTTTTTTACACATAAGATCAATCCATATTGTATGTAGAGAGAGAAGAGGAATTGGTTTGATCTGGTATATAAACCATCATTTTGTTCTTTGGATAGGTCACATTCATACTAAGAAAAATTCACAATGTTAGATAACATTCTCATAGACATCTCCTTTTGGTGCTTTCCAGATTTCCATAGAGCAATTTCCAGATTTTTCTATATTTAAATAAAGCTGATATGTTGCAAAGAAAGTGGCCATTTTCTAGTTTGTCTTTTATAATTTATAATATTTCTAAGCTTTTAGCCATTCTTAAAAGATAAGTAATGGTGGGTGGGTGTATCCCAGTGCTTACTTTGAAAATATTCATACCTACTAAAAAAAGAAAGCAAAGTGGGTGAGAGTAATCTCATTAATTTTAGTTCTGATGAAATCATATAGCTCTTTTGTTAAAAGAGGCAAGCTTGCCATGGCAGCCATTTTTGAATATATCACATGCTCTCAAAAGTCCAAATATGGCCACTTGCCCAGAGAGGCTGTCTATCCTTCACTTAATATTATGGGTGAAAGCATTCATTTATTCATATGTGCAAAAAATTAGCTCACCATACTCTGATGTTATACCACTCTGTTCAACTAGAATCTACCAAACTATTTTCCTTTTAATGAAAAAAGTGACTCTTCTGGCAGATTATTGACATTGAGCCTCTAAGCCTAAACACATTGTGGCTTCATTCTGGTAGTGTCCATGTATATAAATCAGTGTCTGCATATACGGAGAAAGTCAAAGCATGATGCTCTGTATAGTTCTGTCATGTGCAAACTGTCCTGACTCACATTTCTATGAATGGCCAAGTTCCATCTCCAAACTATTGAGTGATGATTGTGTATGTTAAACAGAGTGATTTATCTTCTACTCATGCTGAAACAGTATTTCAAAAATAGGTACCGTACTCTAGATGACAAGAGATAACATTTATTTTAATGGAGCAATTCTTCTACAACTACAGAGCAAGTATTTGATTTGCTGAACTAAATATGTAAATATATTAAATATTTGTTTGCTAACAGAAAAATGGATTTAACCACAGTGTGTTATTTTTTTTTCATTTTTAGCATGGGATTATGATGCAGAGAAGACAAGATGGAATAAAACCACATATGCCTGTAGCAGAAGAAAGAAAAACAATCCTAGCTTCATTGGGAGGAGCACCATATTGACCATACAGTTTTATTAATATAGGATGTATAATGGTTTTACTATAATGGTATGCTTTATTTTATTTTTTAAAAAGTGGTTTCTTGATAGCTGTATTGCCACTATCCTTGTATTGTATTTTATAAAAAAACCCCAAAGAAACTTGAAACTTTAAATGTCTAAAGAATGTAATGCATTATGTGGGGAAAATGTGCAGAAATAAGGTTTTGATTAGGCAAATTCATGTGGTTTTGTATTTATTGTAACACATAATTTCATATATACAAAGAGGAAGGAATTCAAATTGATTACAGATAATGTAATCAAACGAAATAGTTGAAAATATAGTATGGGACTGAGCATTCCCATAGATTTATTTCTCAAGACAAGACAAAAGTTGGCTCACTTTAGAACAGTGTATCAGTTATCACTAAATTTTAATATCCTGTTAAAAATTGTTATTTTAAGGACTAATATTCTTCACTATGATGTTGATGGTTACCAATCTATAGATATTTTCACCTTTAGCCTCAAGTCTGTCAATTCAATGGTATTAACTAACATTTTTATTAATAAATTAAGCAGTTTGGTATATATTAGGAGGTTCCTAGAAAAGGTGCTACATGTATTTTCAAAAAGTTTAGGAAGAACTGGACACTTTCTATATGTCCAGCAGACATCAGCTTGTAATTTATATATAAATGTCAGTCTGGATGGAATCAAGAATCACTGAGTTCATATGAAGCATTAAGTGTCAGGATATCATAGCATTCATATTGTTTTTTATATCTCTTCCATGGGACCTTTAAAAATAGCTCACTAAATGTATTAATTTGGACAATATTTTGTTCCCTCAGAATAACGTTATTTATGAATCTCTTCAGCCTTTATTTTTAATTTTTAATAATTTATTTTTAATAACTTTATAAAATTTATTATTTCCAAATAAACATAAAAAATAAAAACATTTTTAAAGTTATTTGTTATTAAAAATAAAGGCTGAAGAGGTTTATAAACAACATCATAAATGTTCAAACTGAGTAGTACTTAAATGTATTTTGATACACTTGTAAAGTTCTGAGAGACTTTCCAACTTGCTGCTTAAACTCCCCTCTTCATCTCTTGCTTATAGGATATTATTTGAACATTATGAGGAAAATCTTCTGCAAAGAACAGCCAGATGAGCTGGGAAATACTTAGCAGCTATTAGTTAAAGCAGAGGTCCCCAACCTTTTAGGCACCAGCGACCAGTTCTGTGTGGTTTTTGTGTGCTGCCTGCTTTCCATGGATGGGCTTCGCTTGTTTGCACGGGCCAGTTTCTGGCATGCTGTGGCTCGGTGCTGGTCCATGGACCAGGGGTTGGGGACCTCGGAGTTAAAGGGTATGTTGTATTGAAGGGTTAAATCAAACTACAATGTCAGAGTTATACAAATAATTAAAATGAATAGATCTATACATATCCTGTATAAACCCTTGTATCTGAACCATATTTAATTCTTTGAGACAAAGGGGTGTTGCATCAGATTTGATCTTCTGAATTATTTCAGCTGATGATTTCATTCCTGTTTATACTCAGTATAACAAAAGTTTTGAGTATGAGCAGTTATACATATAAATCTTACGATTTTTTAAAAAAAATGTTTTGTTGATGCTGATTAGAAACAGTTCTATATTATTACCAGGCAGTAAACTGAAATTAGAATGTGAAAAATTGACCGCAACATTTCAGACTATATTGAAGCTATTCCCATATTTAGTACATTTATTAAATAAACAATTGTTTATTACTGCACTCAGCTAGATGGAGTTATTTGAAATGCTGTAATTTGAATTTCTGCATGAGTAGGGACTTATGATACAAATAATATATTGTTAATATAATTATATTATTAATTCTATTATTTGCCTCTTGATCTTACAAGAAAAGAAAATTTGGATCGATTAAGTTTTTCATGTAGGAAAACATGGCTTTATCTTTTTTTCTAGAATAAATTGTTATTGGTAAATATATCTGTCTTCTACATAATTAAGGTAATTTCAAATGCTATTAGAAATACAACAGTGTTATACTGATATATGTAATTCATTGCAGGAAATAGTAAGGTATGCTCACAGCATTGTCAATGTTTAAATTACTAAATTTAAAAAACAAAGTTTATTACAACTCAAGTTGCCTTGATGCCTGTTTTAGGTGTAACACCTAGGTAATATTTCTGGACTTAGATGCTAAATAGGATCAGGCCTGGATAATATTTGTATGGAAGTTCTCTATGGAATACTGGAGCTGTTAATAAAATGTTGATCACAGACTGCTACATTAAACAATTTAAATTTCTAATATTAAAAATACTGTTTTTCGCAATTGTATTTTAAACTAGATAATTTAATTAGATAAAGGTCTGTGATTCTTACCAAGACATACCCAAGCAGAGGTCTAAATATTCTTGGTTGTGAAAAATCTAAACAGTAATGGAACAATTACTTGTACAAGTGTGGGTGGTACAAGTGTATTTATTTTGTACCTAAAATGCCCAGTTAGTTGATAGAATTTTGTCGTGGCTGGGTACATTGAGGCTAAGATTTTTCTACTGCAGGGTCTGGAAAGCCAGAGCCCACAAGATGTTCCTACTCAATTTCTAGGTGGGCAGTTGTCGTCAGTCTGGGTTGGGATTCAGAACCTAACTTTGAAATAATATCTGGGCGTTTTGGCAGCAGTCATATGAACCTCTTCCTCTTCTCATCTAAAGTGAAAAACCACAATTTCCTGGTTAGAATGGGGTAATTAGACTCAACTAGGTCTTGAGCACCTTCAGCTTATATATCATTAGTTTACTATTAGTTTACTATTTTCCTTGTTTTGCTAACAGTCCACAAAAAATTAATTGGTTTTGTATAATTAAGTAATTTTATTGAAATAAAACATCACTATTAGGTTGTATTTCAGCAATTGTAAAAAGTGGTAGTTAAAATTATCATACCCTGCTCCCAGTATTTCATTTTTGCTAATAAGCTATTTCAGATCTGTTGTTTTAAGTGTACCCTTTACAACAGTGTAAACTGGAAGTTCTCTATACTGGCTTCTCAGTTTATAAATCAGTCAAGGGAACCTGGAGGTTTTATTGATTTTGTCTGATATTTGTAATCATCAGTCTTCTTTGTCCGACCTTTGAATTTATTCATAGTTTGTAAAATTCCAAAATAGTCATAAAGGATGTCAGCTGATTTTGCAGGAGTAATGCTAAAAAGAAAAGAGACAAACATAAGCCACTCTATATTAAACTTTGAGATGCTGTCAATTTTGCTACATTAGTGTTATGCGAGTTTACACATTAAGAAGCTAAACAGAATCACTTAGGTGGGATGGGCAGTATAGAAATTTAATAAATATTAAGAAATGCAAAAGAAACAACATAAAAATTAAATCTGATAACATAGCATAAAATTAAAATGGTAGACAGCAGATAATCTGTAGAAGCTAATAAACACCCCTCTCAGTCATATTAAATGGATGACAAGAAATAAGAGAATCAATTGAATTCACTTTGGAAGAGATGTCTATAACTCAGGTGGGGCATACACACATGTAAACCCTTCTTAGGTATCCTATACAGCAGGCATGTCAAACTCGTCGCACAACGCATCGCAACTTTTCCCCCATTGCCGGCAATGGGGTGGGCGTGGTTTTGGCGTGATGCATCCAGTCCATGGGCTGGCAGTTTGACATGCCTGCTATGCAGTGTTTGTTATTGATGAAACACAGAAATGTCTTCATTTGGATATCCCAATTTGCTTTGAGATGTAGAAATGCAGAGTACATATAGTAAAACCATCTAACCAGTCTACAGTATTTTGATCCACAAATAAAAGTACACTGATATGTAATACTTCTCCTCTGGATTCATGCCACCGCTAGCTGTTAACACCTCTGCAAACTGCTTCTTCTCTGGGTCTACTATGAGTATGATTCAGGTATCCCTTCTCAATTTGTTTGGAAGCAAATAAAACCTATTGTTCTTCAAATTAATGTGATTGTCCTCACAATTTGTTTGGAAGCAAATAAAAATCTATTTCTTCCTCAAATTAATGTGATTGTCCTTTTTGTCGTCACATTTTGCATATAGGAATACAAGGTTAGTTGAACTGCGGGCTTTATTCCCTTGGGAACAATGTCCCTTTTATCCAGAAATGTTAACCCTATTCCAGGGCTGAATTTACAGTAAAATTCATGCAGGGTCTTTCTCAAACAAAAAAGAAAAGCCTTTCTGAGTACAAGGCTAGAAGGAACAATTAATATGCTAATTCTGTAAACCGCTTAGAGAGGGTTGTAAAGCACTCAGAAGCGGTATATAAGTCTAAATGCTATTGCTAAGTGCTATCTTGTCCTCTGCTGGGCTATCACTGAAGCCAAGGTTATGTTGCAGATTTTTAATCTCTACAAGTAACCCCATCCCAAGAGCCAGCCCCTTCTGATAGAGATACTTATCAGGTTTCTAGGCAATATCTGAAGATGACCATATTTCAATTTTGCTTCAAGTGTGACTTCAAGTGTGATTGGAGACAAGCCGCATTTGTTCTGCACTGTGTATACTACCTAGTTTATGCTGCTGCAAGCAGTAAAATGTGCCTTCAATATTCTAACTATGATGTGATATCTGAATTTATAGAAATGATTCTATTTTAAAGATGCTTGCCATATCTTTAATCTTTTTCATCCACCAGGTTTATTGCTCCCTACTTTTTAAATTAAAATCAATTAAAATATAATATTAAAAAACTGCAAAGCAACTATTTCTAACAACATATGCATTTCCAACTATGGCTGCGCCCATCATTTTTTATATTATTGGTAAAGGAAAATGAATGGCTGCAAAGTAGTGCTTAATCTTCTACCCAGAAGGGTAAAGATAAATAGAAGTAGTACGGTGAATTCTGCAGAGAGACAGAAGATAAATAAGAGGAAAACAGCATCTTGTAATTGAACAGGCCTTTTGTAAGATAATTCCCAGTATGTTTTCAGAATTCCAGGTATGCCCTCTAATCATTGGTGGTCCTGTTTTACACATTTCAATATTCTGCAAAACTTTCATATCCCTATGGATATGAAATTCAATTTTCTTCTTTCTTTAAAGTAACAAGAAAAATGAAAGAGAATACTGATGGAGCCCGACTTTAGTGCATAGGTGCAGCTTTCCCTTGCCCTTTTCAAAACAAAAATTAATGGCTGTCACCTCAAATTAAAGGAAATTAATCTTCCCAAAGACTGATGGCACACTCAAAGAATATACACCAGGAATTTGATGCTGTATCTGCTACACTGTTCTTTGCCCTGTTTTTCTCTGAAGTACCACTCTGCTACATTTCAGATACAGTCTTCACTCAGCATGTTCCTTATTTGTGCTATTGGATGAAAGTATGTATGGCACTGATTTCTCATTTTTTTAAAATTAACTATAGGTAAATCCATCTTTTCTATACTTTTATATGAAACTGAATATCAACTTTAGAATCTGTTCTAAGAGATTTTAAGTAGCCTAGTCTGATGCCTTATTTTTCTGAATAATTCAGATTAATTAAAATAATTGAATTGAATTGGATAAATTTCCAAAATAAAATTAACCTGGATAAAATTTTGCCTAATTTACATAGACCTAAGAGGTCTTTCAACATAACATACAATTTGGGGATCTTTTTATACTGCTACCTTGTTTTTGTTGTTCAATGTTCCTTTCTTGACACATTTTCAATTAGTTCTAGGCAGAACATTCTTACCTTTTAATTACATTAATCAAGTATAGACTTCGCGGTATAAAGATATATCGTTCATTTCGGAGTATCCCGGACACAATTCTTTCTACAGCATATTCTGGCTCTATAATAGGTAGGAAATGAGGCCACCTGATGGAATAAAGAACCACCATTTTGAATTATATTTTTTTCTTGAATTTCATCTGTAATAATAGCAACTGAAGCTTAAACAAAACAAAGCAATCATCAATATGCTTGGAACCATATTGCACCAACCAAACTCATGAACATTGTCTCCCTGTCTCACACACTCTCTAACCCCAATATCTTGCTCATGCTTTTTTTTCTTGTGTGTGTATATTTAATACAGATATGTTCACATTATTACAATATTACAATAATACAACTTACTACAATAAATAAATAGTATTCTAGAGCAAAACATATTGGCTAGAAAATTAACAATTGCATATTTGAGTTAACAATGGAGAAAATCTTTGGACAATCTACATTTATTAATTTTTTATATTTTATCCTCAATTTGTCATCTATATTTTACTCAGTTCTTCATATGCCTTCTGTATAAAAGGCTTTGAAGCAGTTATAATTTATATAAATAATTCCCCCAACTTAATTTTCCAACCTTTGTTAAAATTTGATTTTAGATTTGGTATCTTATCAATCCAGCAAAATCCCTCTTCTGTAATACCTACCTGCTTGCCTATTTGCTTGCCTACCAGCTATCATCTATCCATATCTTCTCATTTGCCTTATTGTTCTGTTTTATCAGAATTTGAACTCTTTGTTTTCTTAGGACATTTCAATTTTTTTATAGGTAGTTTTCTTAATTCTAATGAAGTAATTTGCCAATACTCCATTAATCATTCAGAGAAGCACATCTAACATTGCAAATATGAGATTTCTTTTGTGGATTTAGCTGACCAAATTACATTATATTCGAGTGTAAAATTTGATGCTAAGAGTATAAAAACATCACTATCCATAACAGGCATAGCTCAAGCATTTTATACATGTTCTAAAGAATCATTTTAATAGATTTTACTAGATTTCTACCAGATTTTACCAAAACTAAATTTTACCAATAAAGGAGAGTATTTGTAGTTCAGAGTTGAAATGGCAATAGCAATAGAGTTATTTACCTCCTCCTAATACTTTACAGCACTCTCCAAGTGGTTTACAGAGTCGGCATATTGCTCCCAACAATCTGGGTCCTCATTTTACTGACCTCTGAAGAATGGAAGGCTGAGTCAACCTTGAGCCGATCAGGATTGAACCAGCGGTGGGCAGAGTTAGCCTGCAATAATACTGCATTCTAACCATTGTGCCACCACAGCTGAGAAGTCCTTGGTGCTCTCTGAGCTTGGTTGTTTTCCTGCAGACATTTCATTACCTTAACTAGGTAATATCATCAGTGCTAGTAAGGAGTGAGTTTTGCTCTCAGTTTATATACCACTGGCTTGCCCTGTCAGTCAGTGTTGGTGAGTGTCGGGGGTGGTCTTGGAGGTTTTTTGGTTAGGCTGTTTATTGTTAGCTTATCTGGCTGTTCCTTGATTAGGCTGTTGTTTTACTTCTTGATTTTCTTGGCCAGATTTTCTCTGATGAAAGATCTGGTAGACTGAATAATGCAGTAGAAATTTGAACAAAGGAAATCCTGATCCCTTATGAACTTTTCCCTTCGATTCTGTCAGTAAAAAGGATTTGATTTGTCATTGAGCCAGTCACCATAATCATCCCTTCCTGCATGATTCACAATTGAACATGCATTTGCTTTAACAAAGCATCTTCTCTTGTTGGCTTTCCTTTTGGAGAAAATATAAGGTGGCGGAAACAGAACCAGTACCAAGTACGCCTCAGAGCATTCATGGTCACCCTATATATATTACTAAAATTATTGGGAGCAGGAGCTCATAACCAGAAGGAGTTTCTCCAAAAGAATATACTTTCATGTATGTGACTTCAACATACAACAACAGTCTTCCAGATGTGTGGATTTCAACTATAGAAATATCAGAAATAGCTTCTGGAAGGGAAACTGGGAAAATTCATATATATAATTGGCACTAAGGTTGCAAAACATTGTAGAAGAGCAAGTTCTGTTTTATTTAAACCTGTCATCACTATTTTATTTAAAACGTGTCATCGTTATTTTATGTAATTTAAGGCCATATATACATACATCTATATACATCTATATGCATATATACATATACGTATACATACATACATATACATATATACATATACATACATACACATACACACACACATACATATATATATATGAAATGCAAACAACTCACTTTGTTTCACAGCCTTCAAACATTCCAGTGTTCACTAGATATGGACAGACAATTGTAGATTTAACACCATTCTTTTTCATTGTCATCATCTCTAAAGCTAGAGATTCAGCAAAACCCAGAACTGCAAATTTACTTGTACAGTAATCTGAAAAGTGAGAAAAAAACATAATAGTATGTGCATGAAGCAGAATATTCTTCCTATAACATATTTTGGATATCCCACATAAGCATAAATAAATGAATAAAATCAATGGCAATTGGTATCTTTTGTTTGTACCTTCAGAGGTCTATTTTCTATATTTACAACACTGCTGCTAAAAAAAGGCTGGGAATTTTTAGGGTAAACTACACACTTTCTTAAAATGCACGCTCCAGATGTGTGGAAATGCAACTTTCTTAATTACTATGTATATTATACTTAATAGCAACAATAAATCAAACTATTTGTTATTAGCTCCTGTCTCATGTTTATGATAAAATGTGCTATACCTAAAAATATTTGAGGGGAACCCCTATACAGTTCATTCAAATATTATCAATGAAATGTGATAGAAGAAGTAATTAAAAAAATGGACAGCCATCATTTCACTGAATTTAATTCAATTACTTCAAGTAAATTGCCCTATCATTTTTTCAAAAAATTCAAATACTTCTATAAATCCGATTACCTTTCTTTCATATTTCTTCTTTTTTCTTGCTACTGTAGTCTTTTGTTTCTTGTCCGAAGGAAATTTTAATTTGTAACAACAGTTGCTAACTCTTTGGCCTACTTCACTTGTCAAATTAAGACTTTTATTTAAACTATCTATTAAAAGTTTTTTTAATCTTTTCTGCAGCACTTTTGCCATATACTAACCTGCCATTTTGTTGACAGCATAATAGCCAGCTACACTTGCAATAGTCACCACATGTCCATGATTAGAGGCTACCATGGCTGGAACAAATGCTTTGACAGTCTATGGAGAAGAGGTAAAAACAAATACATTTCAGCATATGAATATATAAAAAATAAATGAAGTGTTTTAAATTTCACTTCAAAAATGACCTAATCGGGTAGATAAAACAATATTTCAGAGTTTCTGAAAGGTCTTCCAGTCTTTTAGTTTAGCTATCTGTTTCATTTTGGTCTCTTCTTGGATGTTAAGGCAACCTGGAGGTGACCAAGGACGGGTCTATGTGATGGTATCAATCTCTTTGAAAAAGGGAGGGAGGGGTACACTCTCTCTTCAAGAGGTCACTACTAGATCCCTCTTTTGCGATAATAATCATACAGTCTCCAAACTTCCTTTTGTTGGAAATATTTGCTGTTGAATAGTTGAAACTTGGAGTCAACTTCTGGGGCAGGTAATGGGTCAGTTTTTAGGAAGTAAATTTAAATATGCTTGGGATAAACACGTGTCTATCATCTAATAAAAATTTTAAAATAAATAAATAAATAAATAATAAAAACATTTAAAAACAAAACAAAACAAACCCCTCAAAGGGCAGATTCGATAGACCGCTGGGTCTTTTTCTATTATTAGTTTTCTATATTTCTATATTATTGCTGTGTTATGTTCAAATGTACTACTTAATATATAAACTAACTACAGCTATGATTCTTGTTTTTCTTTGATAGACCACTAGAGGGCATCAATAAGAAAAAAAAAATCAGACTTTAAAACTGCATGGAATTATGGTATTGAGGAAGTTCCCAGGAATCAAGACTGAAGTCAAAAGTAGAAACAAAAACAACATTTTTGAATATCTGTGCTACAGAAGTAAAAATCTTATTTTTTGTTGTTTCTTGCAAAGCACTATGTCTAGAGAAGCATGTTTGACATGTTTTCAAAAGCTTATAGGGTTGAACCTGTGATTGCTGACAGCAATAGCTGATTGTGTATAAATGCAGACCTTAGTCAAAATCAACATCAATATTATCTGCTTAAACAATTGGTGGCCTTTCAGATATCCAGAGAAGGGTTAAGAAGGGACATGCTTAATTGTACAGCTTAATTTAAAAAAAAAAACAAATTACTAAAAATATAATCTTTTGTTGATCAGGGAGAGTGGGATACAAGCACTCTTCAGGTTGGCTGATTTCCATGGTCTGAAAATGATAAGAGACTCATTAAAATATTTGTGGATCTTAGAGATCACGTATAGTCCTTTTGTGAAAGAATATGATCCCATCATAATAGAATTACTTCTTTGAAATTATTGAATTATTTTCTAAAAGAGCCTTTGTGCAATTCTTATAGCTTCTTCAGTAGGATAGAAATGTATTGTGTGGTGATAGAGTAGAATTGAGTGGGGGCTGAGGACAATGTTATGCATAGCTTTGAAATTGCTTATGAGAAACAGGATTTATAGTTATGATTTTCTTACAATCATGTTCCCCTGGTTTTTCTTCCCCCTATCATCTTTCTTGGATTCTGTTTAGTTTGCTTTTTAGAAATTTGATCAGAAACTAGTGAGAGAAGATATTCTACTATGAAATCATTTCTCTTATTGGTCAACAGATGATGAGAAAAAACAAAAGGACTTTCCACAGGAGTTCTATCTGTAAGGCCATTTTTACTAATACAAAAAATGCAAGTTCATACTGGATATGCTTTCATAATCAATCATAAATCTGTTACCCAAAAGTGTGCCATTGTGTTCACTTGAATACTCTTCTCTAGAAGCATATCGGGGCTGTCTAAAAACATTCTTCCCGTTATGATGCCAGCATTATTAATCAGGATACCAACATCACCAACTTCCTTTTTCACCTAGAACAGTCATAGAGCAGGCCCAAGTTAAAACAATTTTAGTAAATTTACATAATTCAAAGGAAAAGTACAGCTACCAAAAATCTTCATATAAGGATCTTTATGTTTGCATTAAACATGCCGTCGGACATTACATGAAATCAGTCTGCTTATTTTATCTGTCATTTATCCTCACATTTCACTGTTCAGCAAAGTAGACTTTAAAGCAGGGCTTTTCAACCAGTGGTACGGGTACCACCTGTGGTACATTGGCAGGTACATTGGATAGTACGTGACCATCCTAGAAAAGTGGTAGCGGGGGAGAGGAATGAGCTGAACCGGTGGCAGCACCGCACAAGCCTGAGCGAGAGATGACTGGAGCTGCAGGTCTGTCAGGGCTCAGCGGAAGCGCCAGGATCAGCGCTTCTTCGGGACTGTCAGGGCTCAGTGGAAGCGCCAGGATCAGCGCCAGGCTCCAGCTGGAGCTCAGCACTGATCATGGCACTTCTGCTAAGCGCAGAAGAAGCGCCGATCAGCTGGAATGTTGCAGCATCTCCAGGGTCTTGTGATTTACATTAAGATGCTTGGCAACTGATTCATATTTATGATGGTGACAGTGTCATGTGAAGTAACCAAAACCTGCTGCAATCACCCAGCAGACGGGGGGAATAAAAAACAAACATGCCCCCCCCAGCTGCCAATCCTCAATAGAAATGCTCACAACAATGAAAATCTCGGACAGGAGGAAGAGCGCCGCGGGTGGGCAGGCAGGTGTCTTGCTCGGCTGTGCCTTGGGGAGCACTTTTTTCAGTGCCATTGTAACTTCGAACAGTCACTAAGTGAACTGTTGTAAGTTGAGGATTACCTGTACTTTATCACTTTTTTCCTTTTTTTTTGGTCATCAAGTTTTTGACACCTTGCTAGGCGACTGGTGGTATTCGGATATTGCCATATCCTAAAAATGGTACAATGGGTAAAAAGGTTGAAAAGCCCTGCTTTAAAGTTTCAAAGAAGGAAAAACACTGGGGAAAGTTGCAAGATAAAACATTTTTTCTCTGATTTTCACCTTTATTCCCTTCTATTCAATTCAGCATTCAGCATTAAGGATCTGTGGTAAAGTTAGGGGCTTTACCGCTGTTTAAAATGACATCACTAAAAATTGGGGTGCATGTGTTTTACAAGCAGAAGTCTCCATGAAAAATACTGTTATATGAATAAATCAAAGACCATAGGTAGTATTAGAATACGTGCAAGTAATTTGGAATATCATGTACAATCCTCAGATATTTTTGATTTTATATGTTGTATAAATCCAGACACAGTACTTTATAAATCATGGTCTATTGCCTAACATGCTGGGTCAATCCAGTTTTAAATGAATTATAGTTTAATGCAATATATGATTCCAGTGATTACAGATGCCATGTTAGCAGATGGAACAAATGTTTGATGGATAAATAAAATATTTTATGTTGTACAAAATCTATAACAAAGTATAATTACCTGGTCTGCCACTTGATAGATTTCTTGCCTTTTGCTGCAATCACAAATGTAATCATGTACTCTCGCAGTTCCAATTTTACGTGCTAATCTAGCTGTTTCTTTGATTCCTTCCAGATTAATATCCCAAAGAACTAAAGTAGCTCCAAGATGAGCAAATTTTAAAGCCATCAGCCTTCCCATTCCACTTCCAGCTCCAGTTATAAGCACTATTTCACCAGCAACATTTTTCTTCGGTGCATAGATAAACGATAAGAAATACTCCATCAGATTATATATACACAGCACGATTATTTTGAGCGTTTCCAGGAAGAAATTCATTTTGGAGAAAACGTTTCAGATTACCTGTTGAATAAATTCAAACATCAGTTAAATCCACTGCCAAACATTTATGTCTTGTTTTCACCCCCTTTCAACTACGATCCTTTCTTCTTCCCTTGGGATCTTCCAGAGGGGTAGATCAAAACTGTTAGGGTTTATCAGTGAGAAAGAGGCAGATGTATATCATTCCTGTGGGCAGGGTGAATGATGAAACTGTTTAACATTATTGAAGATCTTTCAGCCAAAATAAGATCTCTTCCTTGAGCTTGATCATGGTGACTACATGGACATATCCATATTTTCTTCTTGGCAACAGAACAGAGGTGCTATACTGTTAATTTCTCCCACTTCTATCTAAAACCTTGGAATGTCTGTATGGACAAGTATTAACGAAATATTATTTTCGCTCACATTATGTACAGAGCACATATTTAAGCTCAGTTGCTGGTGATACCTTAGAATCTCTTAAGAATACATTTTTGGGAAAGTTTCTGGGCCTTTATTCAGTATATCTACAGCTTTCCTCTTGGCAGAATCCAGTCTAATTTATTGTAATTAGAATATACCTGTATTATCTGAAATTCTGGCACAGTATGAATAGAGTAGGTAATGCCTACCTCCCCCTCCAATTGGATGGAGTAATAGAGATGGGGTTTAGTTAGATTCTGATAAAGCAACATAACCTTAGAATGGGAAATGTTTGAACAGATGATTATTGATTTGTCTAGCTGAACTAGACTTATGATTATTATGGAGGTGAAGATGGGGCTATGACTTTTAGTTTCATTTAAATAGATACTTTTATTGTTCAAGGAGAAATAAATTAGAACATAGTCTCCATTTCCATTTTGTCTTAAAATGTGCGAGCTTTAACTGAATGGATTTCAAACACTTTTCTCAATTTATTTAATGGTAGGACTTTCTAACATATTTTTGTAAGAAAAGCTTTGCAGTATTAATTTCAATGTATAGAAGATATCATTCTTTGTATACGGATTTATTTTAAAGCAAACCTGGGATAAATCTCACAAAGATTTCATTGCTTCATGTTTAAATGATTATTCCCCAAAGGTTTCCCAATTAGTAAGGAAACATCACAGGTAAATTTCAATAAATTAAATAATTTCAGTTATTACATTTGCAATTAATGTTTATCCTATGTACAGATATTGTGGCATTTGGCTAAATACAAATAAAAGTACAATATACGAGACAGTAAATGGTATGTAGCACATGAAGAATGGGTTTATCTAGTTTTGCAAAACCCATGTGAAATTGGGTCCAAAAATGGGAGGAAGTTTGTTATGTCTCTTCATAGACAATTTATGTGTACATTCTCCTGAAGTGCAGTAAATATGCATGATAGTTGAGTAGACTGACTTTTTAAGTGCCCCAGCACATAACTACAAACACATTTTACTAGAGGTTTTCAGGATTTTTGCCACCAGCATCATTGAATTATTTATTAGAGACTGATAAATTACAGGGATTCATCAATACTGACTCAAGGGCACAAAATAAATAACTAAATAAACAATATATTTTATAGTTTTTTTTTAAAAAAAGCTCAAGATAGTGTCATAATGGGGTACTCAAAACTCTACCTGTTGTTCATGGGCACTGGAAAGCCAGACAGAACTTTGACTGCAGTATCACTGCCACCACCTCATTGCAGCTATCATACTGTTACCATATCTTATTTTGCAGACATCCTTGTTACTTACATATCACTTTTTTATATATACAATTCTTTGTTAAGGGTTAAGAATTGCTTTATTATATCCTGACTTAAATCCTATTGAATTTACTAAGAATACTGAGCAAACTGCATAAAAGGATTTATAGTTTTAGTCTGCTTCTACCCATGATTTATTGTATTTCTTTCTCATCCTTCTGTAGATATTCAATTCTTTAGATATTTCTGTTTGATGTTTGCCTTGTTTATGCCTGCCAAATAATAAAACTGGTTAATACAGAATAATAAAATCACCAGCCTCCAATTAATTACAGATTTTTGTTTTATTACTAAAGACGAGGAGTCTTCAAAACTGTAATTTAACCTGTCAATTATGGTTGTTAATTTGTGGCAGTCATAAATATGTCATCATGTGACTGATTCAAATTGTCAACCTTTTTTGCAAATGCCATGGTTAATAAATAAACCTATTGTTTGCTATGGGGCAAAAAGGAGTTTAGAATCTCCTTTTTAACCGAGAGTTATGTTGAAAGACTTTCCTTGTTTTTAACATATATGTTTCCATTTTCGGTGTCTTTACAGATGTTGTAATACTGCTTATTGTTTCTTCAAACCGTGCTCTTAAATTCTTTGTTAAACTCCTGAGAGTTTTTCTTTCTTGGTTTGGGTTTCTCTTCTCTTCCTGAGAATCTCCAGTTTGTTCCAACATCCAGTTTGTTTTCTTCATTTTTGGCAGACATTTTTACATTCATCCTTAACAATGTCTTTAAGCTCATTCCATAACTCATCTGTCCTTTATCAACAAGATTCACAGTGATTCTTGATGTTCTCTTTGAAAATTATGGGTTTATATTCAAGATCATATCATAGAAACTGCCTGGTGTTCTTCTTATTTAGCCTAACTTGGAACAATTCATGTCAGTCCTCCCAACTAAACCATATGGGAAACATGACTAGATGACCTAGTTCCATTTTATTGTAAGGCTAGTTTACCAGTATACATTTACTGCCACCACTTTTAATTGCTTGTTACATTAGGTTGGGTCTTTCCTAAGCTTCTTTCTCTGACCATTAAGCCACTAGGAACTGCTACCTGTCTTGCCTAATAGTCTCTTAGGCAGCCTCTTTTGACCTAGTTCTTCAATGTCATCACACATTCCATTGCAGTTTGAGATCTGTTCCACAGTCAGCTCCTGGCTGTCTTGATGCTATAATATATAGCCAATTTTATTTCTCTATACTCCATCTGGTGATGTTCATGTACAGAGATGTCTTGGTTGTTGAATATAATTCAGCACTTTCTTTAGTCTTATGTATGTTTAATTACAAATAAAACCCAGCAGTATGATCCAGTAAACTAGTGAACAAGCATCGTTAAATATTATATAATGTATAGTGGTCTGATAACCCCAATCCTATATATGGCTTCTTTTGCAAAAATAAATAATAAAAAAGGAAGGAAGGAAGGAATTTAGCTTCTCTAGACTGTCAACAGATAAGCTAAAGTTACTATTTACTACATTTCAGCTCAACAGCTAGTTCTGTAGTCAGATCACACAACACCTTATTCCCCCAGTTTCAGAATATTGTCTTCCCGGAGACTTTCCAGATAAATCCAACTTTTTGGAACTACAACAGTACAATATATTAAACTGCTCAAGGCAAAAAAACAAATGAAAGCTTGACTTTCGGACTTGCTGATTAGTTTGTCATTATAGAAATGGCTAGTATTTACTAAGGAAGAAAGGTAGAGGTTTCCCTGTCCCTACTCTAGGGCAGTCCTCATCTACATTTCCTAGCTGAGAGAGTCAATGTCACCCAAAAACAATTTCTGTGGTCATGTGGCCAGCATGGCTTTACGCCAAAAGCACACAAAATTCTGTTACTTTCCCACTGAAGTAGTACTTATTAATCTACTTGCATTTGCATGCTTTTGGACTGCTAGTTGTGGAGGAGTTGGAACAAGTAAAGAGCGCTCACCCTGTGGCATGGTGCAGTATGCAAAAGTAAAAAGGCGAGGCTCTAATTTTGTATGTTACGAAACTGAAAAAAGCTGGAACTCAATGCTTTTTTCCCCCCCCCCCTTTATCATACACTTCTTTCTTTTCCTTTTCCATTTCCCTATTATCTTTATTTTCATTTGTATTGTATATTACGATAATCTTAATATAAACAGTACAATATACTAAATATACAATGTACACTTACATATGCAATTTGGTGGGAGGTTGTTTTGCTGCCTGGTTGGAGGAGGATGGTTTTTAAGTGGGAATAGAGATACATTTGTATTTTTAATATATTGAATAGGTTTGTTACCCATCCAAAGTTATACTTCATAAAAAGGAGGAGACTTATACATCTTTTAAATAAAATAAATCCACAGCCCAACATATGGATTAAGCAAATAAGTTTAATATTGCCTCTGTTAACTTCGATAAGTTCTGACCTGACCATAATTAGTGCAGAAACGAGAGGAAATTCCCTCCTACTAAAAAGGAACTGCTCTTGTATTTTAACAGCCGTTTCAGGCGACGTAACTGTGAACTTTGGATTAAAGGAAGCAGCGACATAAAGAGCAACTGGGGAACCCGCAGATAGCGGCCCAAAAGACCTTTCTATTCTTCCCCCCCCTCTGTGTGTGTGTGCGCGCGCGCGCGTGTACACACACAAACACACAAAGTGAAATCAAAGTATTCTTAAGTATTTCTAGGGTCCTAGCCCTGAGCTGAAGCAACCACAATCCTCAGCGCCCCAGAGGCACGCCGTAGAAGCATTCCAGCTCATTATCAGCCCCGCGCACCGACTTACTCAGCTATTTCACTCCTCCCGGCTCAATACTTCGTTGAAGAGGAAAAGGTTACTTCCGTATTATGAGCAAGAAGGCCGCCACGAAGCAGTGCCGCCGGCGGAGATTCTTTAATCTAGAATGATGGCGGTCCAGAAGAGGACCCGCCCATTCACTCCAAAGGCGGTCCTACCAGCTGTTCTACGCGCAGACCACAATTAGTCTAATTGTAGTCTAATCTGCAATTGCAGGATCGAGTTTGCCTTCCTCGTTGTTCAGCCAAAGCAATGGAAAGGAGAAGTTGTCTGACAGGGGTCGTTGCAAAGGAGATGGGAAATTCCCTTCCACTGCTCAGCCCAGTTATCTCAATTCGGCTGCTGAGGAAAAAAAAAGTAGAAAACCGAGCGCCCCCTTGGGCAACGCAGTGGGTAGCGTTAACCCACTTAAGCATCCCTTAAAGAGGAAAAATGATCGGACGGCTTGAGCCTCTCGTTCCGCCTGGCACAGCTGAAAACTAGAAGTATCCTGTTGCAATTGAATCCCTGCCAACTCTGGGCGCAGCGATTGTTTGTTCTTTGGGCTCTTAAACAAGCCAGTGTGTATTACGTATTATGCTTTGGTCAGGTGAATGTGCTTGAGGCAGTTTACTCAGAGCAACCGCCTCTTGGCACTGTCTTATTGTCGAGGATGAGCTCCGGTGGAGGAAGGAGAGTCCGAGGGGTCTCGGGAAACAGAAAAGACACCCTAAGCATAGACCAAGGCTTTTCAACCTTTTCACCCATTGTACCACTTTTAGGATATGGCAACATCCGAGTACCACCAGTTGCCTAGCAAGGTGTCAAAAACTTGATGACCCCCCCCCAAAAGGAAAAAAGTGATAAAATACAAGTAGTCCTCGACTTACAACAGTTCACTTAGTGACTGTTCAAAGTTACAATGGCACTGAAAAAAGTGCCCCCCAAGCCACAGCCGAGCAAGACAGCGCCTAGCGGCGCTCTTCCTCCTGTCCAAGGTTTTCATTGTTGTGAGCATTTTTTTGAGGATTGGCAGCGGGGGTGGGGTGGGGTGGGTTGGTTTTTATACCCCCCCCCCCGTCTGCTGGGTGGTTGCAGAAGGTTTTGGTCACTTCACATGACCCTGGAACACTGTGACCGTCATAAATATGAATCAGTTGCCAAGCATCTGAATGTAAATCACAAGACCCTGGAGATGCTGCAACATTCCAGCTGATCGACGCTTCTTCTGGGCTCAGCAAAAGTGCCAGGATCAGTGCTGCTTTCCAGTTAATTGGTGCTTCTTCAGGGCTCAGCAGAAGCACCAGGATCAGCACCAAGCTCCAGCTGGAGCCTGGCGCTGATCCTGGCGCTTCCACTGAGCCCTGACAGCCCCGAAGAAGCACCAATCAGCTGGAAAGCGGCACTGATCCTGGTATTTCCACTGAGCCCTGACAGCCCTGCAGCTCCAGCCATCTCTCACTCAGGCTTGTGTGGTGCTGCCACCAGTTCAGCTCATTCCCCTGCCCCGCTACCACTTTTCTAGGATGCTCGCGTACCACCTGCCAGGTGCCAATGTATCACAGGTGGTACCCGTACCACTGGTTGAAAAGCCCTGCATAGACAGTGGGAAAGAGGAGTGTGGCCAGGGAAAGACAGATCCAGACTAAGCTTAGCTCGTGAAACTAATCCCCACCATTCCACCCCCAAAATTTGAAAGCATGGGGTTTAAGAATTTACCTCATTTTAACAATGATACAAACTAGCAGTTTATGATCATTTGGACTTCAACTAGCCTAATTAAGCTCTTCCCAAACTTGAATTATTAGACTGAATTATGTGCCATGTGATAAAATTAGTGAAAATGCAGAATGAATTTCAAGAAAAGCCAAGTGTTATAAGTCATGAAGATATATGTATGTTAGCAAAGATGAAGATTAATTTTAGGTGATGGAACTCAACAGCCAACACATACCAAAAGGTTGGAGACGGTAGAACTGTCAAAATGTGAAGTTTCAGTTTATCTTAAGTGAGTCTGACATTATTGCCATGGTAGGAATAATACTGTTAACATAATCTAATGTCACTTGGGCAACTGCTTCCTGAATCTTCTGAAATAGCAGTATTGTATTATGCAAGCACAAGAAAGCTACTTATTGCTGTATGTTATGTAATGTTTGTTTTAGCACACCTTGCAGATCATATTTTTTCTAATGCACCAAATATAGAACAATAAGCTTCATAACTAATTAGTAAATTTATATGTTAAGCATCTCTGTAAAAAGCTGCATGATTAGTTAAAGCAGAGTAACAACTTGGAAGATGAATAGACAGGTGATAGGGAAGGGAACTTAGACCACTCTCTTGGGAAGAGTTATCCCTTCTCTTTGGAGAAGTTAAAAAGAGAAATCCTTATTTAAGTGTGAATAACAGTCACACATATCTTAGACCTATTTTCATCCAATACTTTTTCCATACTGTATTTTCATACCTCTTAAGAAAAATGTAATCAATAATCTGCCTACTATGCAAAGGTCAAATCAAGTAGTTAATCTGGTGTAAAAGCTGATAATGAGCAATTTTCAAGACAGAAATAATTATTATGAAATCATGAAGCAAATATTTAAAACTCTGATGGCCAGAAAAGAATGCCTAAAAGTTGTTTATTCAAAATGGCAAGAGGACTTGGAACTGACATTAATGCAAAAACACATATGGAAGGCTTGATTTCTTTAACAGGTAACTTTCTATGTATATAGCAATAATACATACAGCAATAATATATACATTGTGATATACCTATGTATCCATTAGATAGTTATGGAACATGGAATAGTATTTCTAGAGAGTTAAGATTTTTGCTCTAAGAGTTCATGTAAATTCTTATACCTGATAATACTCACCCTGGAGCCCACATCGTTTTATTTTTAATAGAATCATACAATATAAATATTAGAACACTCCAAAGATCATCTTGTCCAACTCCCTGCCCAATTTACAGGGTTCCACTATTGTACTATTCCCAACTGAGCGCCATTCTTCCTATTTAAATACTCCCAGTGAAAGAGAGTCCATCACTTTCTGATGCATTATTTTACATTATTGAAAAGTTCTTATCTTTTGGATTTTTTTCTGATTGATAATTGAAATATTTTTCTAAACTCACTGTTTAGAAATATTTTTTGAATAATTCTGAACAATTCTGTCCCAGCTCCCACATAAGAGCCTCTCTAATATTTGAGGACAGCTATCATGCCTTTCTGCAGTATTTTTCCCAGTCACTCAGTGATTTGAACTGTTCTTCTTTATCCTAGCATTTCCCATGTGCAGTGTCTGCTTTTTGGATCAACAAATGCAGTTTCATGTGATCAAATGCAGCAACCAGAATCAAACTGTTGATCCATTAGTTGTGATAAAAATTTACTGACTAGTTAGTTAGTCTGTGTTCAGCTTGGCGCCAACCTTGTGAAAGGACAGTTTCTAGCAGAACCAACAAAGAGAAACGAGATTTACACCCACTCATAACTCAAATTGTTTCTCATAAGATTAAGGAAAGTCCCGACAACAGGTCAAACGAAAGGAGACCTGTATGAGGTGAAACAGTTACAGGAAGGATTTTACACGAGTCTCGACCCGTGTTATAAAATCCATATCAAACTAGTTACATCTTATCTCTTCTTATTACACAATAGAACTAGAACTACAACATGTAGACAAATACATTGGATCTTGACATAAACGAAAAAAAAAAAATTATTTCAACATCCTGTTCGTACATGTTCAGGTTGTGATCCACTAAATCCTTTTCACAATAGTTAGCATTTCTGTATGTTAAAATTCATTTTAATGAATTTTGACTGATGTTCAAATTTGCCAAGATTCTCCTGTGCCTTAAAGCTTTTCTCTAAGGCATTTGCTATGCTTTGTTATTTTTATGTCACCTGAAAATTGATAATATTTTCTAAATATTTTTCTAAGCATTTATAAATGTATTGAATAACTGAGGGCTATTCAATACATTTATAAATGCTTAGGAAAATATTTTTATTTTTAGGAAAAGAGCCCCACAGTACTTATTTATATCCTGCCTTTATTATTTTTATAAATAACTCAAGACAGTGAACACATATTTCTTCCTTCTGTTTTCCCAACAGCAACAACCCTGTGAGGAGAGTTGTTGAGAGAGAGTGATTTCCCCAAAGTCACCCCAACTGGCTTTCATGCCTAAGGTGGGACTAGAACTCACAGTCTCCTGCTACTAGGCTGGTACTTAACTATAGACCAAACTGGATCTATATTTCTACTATATCCTCTGATGTACACTCATGGATGTAATTGTTCACCCAGCTCTGTATTCATCTAATGGGAGCATCAACTACTATTCCCTAAGGTATTTGCCCTCCTCCTATCTTTGTGTTATAATATCAAATCACAATTTCCAATCTCACATTCAAATTATTTATAGTTTATAAATATGTTGAACATCATACCAAAAAGCTCTGCATTTATAGTTTTTCCTGTATTATTGTTAGTTTTTCTCCATCTATCAAGATTGGGCATTTTTAAGTCTTTGTAAATAAAAAAAGAATTGATTGATAAATCAAGACATTCACCATTTGTGACTAATCCTTATTATTAGCTGAATTGTACACATCTGTGAACATAGCATACATTTTTCTGTTAAATGAGTACAAATTCTATATTCACATTATTTGAATAGATGATGATATAGCCTTTCTTTCTACTAAGCTACGAAAAGCCAAATGATGGCTTTGTAGCTGTGTAATTTAGAAGCTAGAGAAGAGAATAAAAATCAAAGCTTGTCAGAAAAGCACGAGAGTCATTATATCCTGAATGTTTATCTTAAAAAAAATGTTTTTGCTGGGTTCTGAAAATGCTGCCCTAAATCCAATTTAGTAAATTAAAACTTACATTTATGTGCACTAAATATTGTAATAAAACCTTCATCAATCAAGATTATTTGGGCTCCAGTTCCAGCAAGCATGGCCTTTTGCATCTTCATACAGCAGAGTTGAGAAAACACTCTCCACGAAAGGTAAGTCTGTCCTTGCATAATTTTGACCTGTTTTTTGCTGCTTGACTTTGAGCATTTAGAAATAGCTGGCATGGAACAATACCGAGCTTGATTAGTAAAACTCTAGACAAGCCAGTTTCTTGGCAGCTGTTCTCCAATAGAAGCCTTATATGTGAGATGAAAATTTGGAAATTTATGCAAACCAACATAATGAATTGGTATTGCTTC